CGCGGGCACCTGCCGGGTGGAGCAGGCGGCCGAGGAGCCCAGCAGCGCCGGCGCCCTGAGCAGCAGCTGCAGCGAGCCGAGCCCCCCTGGGGACTCGCCCAGCCTGGACTCCCTGGAGTCTTTCTCCAACCTGCATTCTTTCCCCAGTAGCTCTGAGTTCAATAGTGAGGAGGGAGCGGAGACCAGGGTCCCCGAAGACGTGGAGGAGGGCGCGGCGGGGCCGCCCAGGGCTGCACCTCTGTGCAAAGAGGAGGAGGAGGACCCGGCGCAGGTGCTAGCGGCCTCCAAAGAACGCTTTCCCGGACAGTCAGTGTATCACATCAAATGGATCCAGTGGAAAGAGGAGAACACGCCCATCATCACCCAGAATGAGAACGGACCCTGCCCTTTGCTGGCCATCCTCAATGTTTTGCTTCTGGCCTGGAAGGTACAATCTGCAGCTTTCTACTTCCTACAGCTTGTGGGGAGGGGCAAAAATGGGGTGAGGAAACGGCTGTTTGTCAGCTGATGGCTTCCTTGTTTCTTCATTCATCAGACCTTTTTTGAGACAAGGTTTCTCTGTGTAGCTTAAGCCGTCCTCGAACTCATGATCTTCATGCTTCAGCCTCTGGAGTGCTGCTAGGTTTACAGGCATGCACCACCACTTCTGACAGCCCCCTTCTTACATGAAATTAATTTCAGGATTTCTTTATTGAATGATTATTCACCTGTGTGTCAGATAGAATTGCCCCTAGCTTCAGGTCCCTTTTGTTACGTTCAGTTAAAGATTGTAACTGATTGTGTACTTGTAAACAGGTAGAATCTAGACCCTACACTTACACTTTCTGAATATTTTTACTCTATTTGCCCGTATATTACTCCTTTTTACTGACGTTATCACATATGCAAAACAATCAAAATTGGAAAAAGTGATCTTCAGAGTTACTATCAATGTGATATCATGAAGCCAGTTTTAATGATAATATATATACTATTTTCTAGAGAAAGCTGGCCTGCCACTCTTGGGTGTAATACATGAAAACAGAGATAGGGAAGATGCAGCCAGCCCCTTTTATATAAATTTCACTTAAGGAAAGCTTCGATCTGACCTCACTTACCTAAATTACTTATTTTCAAAGACTGTATTTTCAGCCTTTGTATGATTTTTTTTTTACTTGCCTTGTTTCTTTGGGTCTACTTCAAAGGACTGACCAGTAACTATACATTAGAATCTACTAAGGAAGCTAAGACTTTTAACAACTAAAATAAGAAATGATAAATCTAAGTTACTGGAGCATTAAAGGGGAACGACAGGTGTATTGAGGCCTCAGAATAAAGTGTCATATTTAAGCTTTCTGCTTCTGGGTGCTGAGAGGATACATTTCCACACTTATTTTAAAATTGATAACTCCATTTGCAGTTAAAATGTTTCCTAGAAGAAGAATAACTTAAATATTACTAGCCAGTTATGAAGAAGTGAGATGGATAGTGAGAGGAATTCCAAACACCAAATGTTACAGTTTCATGTTGGGTATCTGGGGCACTTGATGGAATGAGTCATCTGGGTTCCAATCATCTGGGTTAGTCTGTGAATGAGTATGCATGCTAATGAATTTGAAGATTATTTTGATTAACTTCTACCTACAATGTTCTAGGGTTTCTCTATCCCAGAGTTCCAAACTTCCACATTCTTTCTACGAACCAGTTCAAAAAGTCCAGGAGCTCCATGGTCAGGTTGGTCATAGCAAAGGCTCCAGTCCTGACCACCAGTTTTCTGGCATAGTTACTTTTCTCATTGCTGTGACAAAACAGCTGAAGGTATGGATTATTTTTGCTCACAGTTTGAGAGTACAGTCCATTAAGTCAGGGAGGACATGGCAGTTGAACTGAAGTAGCTGGTTCCATCCTAGTCAAGAAGCAGAGAGAAATGCCTGCTCAATTGGATTTCTCCTTTTTATTTAGTCCAAACCCGCAGCTCATGGACCGCCACCCACATTCAGAGTGGGAAAAGCAGTTACCATGGTCTGGATTACTTTCTGGATATTTGAACCTTGTATTGACTCTGAAAGACAGACTCAAATGTGGAACGACATTTGTGTTCTGCTTTTGTAGAAGACACTATAAGAGCAAAGACAGTACAAAGCACATGGGCCTTCAAGTAGCTCAATATATGGTAAGGAGGTGGATTCAGCCCTCTAATGTGTTAAGGAAGTACCAAAAAAAAGGAGGGGGTTGGGTAACTGGGAATAGGATCTCTCAGGGGAAGGCTTCAGAGATGAGACACACTGATTCAAGTCAGAAGAGTGAATGAGATAAGAGCTTTGGACAAAAGGGTACATTTGAAGAAAAATCAGAGATAGTTTGTATTGATTCCCTCCAAGTTTTGCTGAAATGCAGTAGAGAAGGGGAAAGAAAGCATCATAAGCAAGAAGTAAATTTGATGGGTTTAGTTAGTCTGTGAATGAGAATGCATACTAATGAATTTGAAGATTATTTTGAAAATCGTTGGTTCTCAGTCCTTTTTCTGCCTGTAGGCTATTTATGCCAACAAAAAAAAATCAGTCATCATTAATGATTGATAGGGAGACGGTTGAGAGAAACAATGTCAAATAGTATTCTCAAGGTGAGCCAGGGTTTCCAGAGGTCAAAACTGTTTTCCTAATAATACAAAAATGTTATTTACCTTTTGGAAGTCAGCAGAGATTTCTAGATTCTTTGATGAATGGATAATAATTGAGGTTTAAAAAAAGAACAAAAGGGTATTCACTATACACAACACATAGAAGTATTTGTCGGGTTATAATGTCTAAGAACGTGTGTGTGTGTGTGTGTGTGTGTGTGTGTGTGTGTGTGTGTGAAGGTCAGGTGTTTTTCTGTATGACTCTTAATATTTTTTGTTTTGGTTTCTTGGAGACAGAGTCTCTCAGTTGAACTTGTTCTTTCAGTTATACTGACTGGCCAGTGAACCCTGGGTTTGCCTGTTCTACTTCACCACTTTTTAGTGCTGAGTACAGAAGTTTGACACCGCAGTTTCTACATGGGTGCTAGGGAGCCAAACTCAGTTGCACTTTTTCCACTGAGCCATTGTCCCAGCTTCAGGTTTCTTTATTTTCAAGTTTCTTTTTGTAGTTAGCGGTATATTGTACAAAATAATGGGTTTCACTATGACATTTATATATATATGTGTGTGTGTGTGTGTGTGTATAAAGAACATACTTTGATCATATTCATCTTTTTACATGATACTAATTATATAGAAACTAATGGATTTCATTATAATATTTGATTTTTGTTTGTTTTTGAGATGGAATCTTAAATATCACAGATTGGGCTCCAGCTTGCCATATAGCCTGAGGATGATTTTTGAACTTCCGGTTCTCCTTCCTCAACCTCCCAAGTACTGGAATTACAAGCATGTGCCACCACTCCCAATTTATGTGGTTCTGCCGTTAACCAGGGCTTCATGTATGCTAGGCAGGCACCTGTCAGCTGAGCTACGTCTGCAGCCCTCGTTATCACATTTTCAAACATGTTTGTAGTGTGCTTTGATTGTCTTCACCTGACTCCAGGGCTAATTTCTTCTTTAGTATATATGGTTGTTTTGCCTGAATGTGTGTCTGTACACTACATGCATGGCTGGAGCCCAGGAATCCAGAAAGGAGCACCAGATCTCCTGGAATTGGAATTTCTGACAGTTGTGAGGCACCATATGAGTGGTATTGAATCTGGGTTCTCTGAAAGAGCAGTCAGTGCTCTTAACTACTGAGCCATCTAGTTTCTTAGTTTATAAAGAGCACTTACAAATAAGCAAGAATAAAGCAGAGCAACATAATGACAAATGGATAAAAAAAATCAATAGCAAAAAACTTCACCAGGTGATAGTGGCACACACCTTTAATCCCAGCACTTGGGAGGCAGAGGCCGGCAAATATCTGAGTTTGAGGCCAGCCTGGTCTACAGGGTGAGTTCAAGGACAACCACGGCTACACAGGGAAACTCTGTCTCAATAACAAAAGACAGGAAGGAAGAGAGAAAGAGAGGAAAGAAGGAAGAAAAGAAAGAAAAGAAACTTTAACTTCAGATGGCCATTTCTTATTTTATCACCTTGAAGTGAAGTTCTGTGTCTATGAGCATCTTTCTAACAGTGACTGTTTGCTATGGGGTCTCCCTACGTTTCAATGACATCTCATCTCTTCTCCCATGTGTTTTTCGTAAATCCTTCACACTAGTTTCTGATTTATTCTGCCCCATCCTACCAATCCTGTAGAAGAACTGCAGTCACACTAATTTTTTCATGCTATCTTTTCTTAAAGTAAGCACAAAACTCTTTTGAGGTTTTCCAAGTGTGTTTATCACTTATAAAAAAGGAAAAACAGATGGTGAGCCAAAGGTTTTATCTTAGCCTCTGCCTACTCTGTTTTAAATATAGACCTGGTAAGGAGAAATTTAAAACTTTACGCAGTGGTAGGACCTTATCTACATAAAGATTTGAGGAACAGTTCTGGGGCTTTCTTTCCCAGCTTCGCTGAAGAGTTAGAAGTATTATGTGCCTCTGGAATTGTAAGCAAAGTAGATGCGAACAGCATGATCCTGCATGGGTGGATGCCTGGTTCTGATAGTATTCCTCCAATGAAAAAGCCTTCCTTTTCCTTTTCCAGTCATGCCTATGGAGGTCCAGGTAAAGGATGTTTAATCTTTGAATACATGTGGTACCCACAAACTAGGCCTTTGAATATAGTAACTTTTTGTTTCTACTCTGGTTTGTTTTGAAGCAGGGTGTTGCTATTTAGTCACTGCATTTGAGTTTTAGAATTACAGGTGTGCAGCAACATACCTGGCTTAAAGTCCACTTTGATACTGTTCCCCCATTATTTTCCACTTTTTTAAAAAAAATAAGGTACTCCCATGTATCTTTTTGAGGGGGATCGGCTGTTTTCCATGCATGCATGCATGTGTACCACATGTATGCCTGGTGTTGGCGGGGGCCAGATCAGAGTCCTTGGAACTGGAGTTACATATGGTTGTGAGCCTAGATGTGAGTGCTAGGAATGGCTCTGATCCTTCTGTGTCGTCCTCCTGAGAGTGGGATTGCAGATCTGGGTCACTATGCACTGCTTGTTTTGAATGTTTTGTTTTTATTGTGTTCAGGATCTGATGACATTTAAAAAAATTCTTACCTTATGGTAAGTTTGATGTCAGCTTGTACTATATTGAGAGAGCCTGTCTGAAAAGATCAGATCAAACAAAACAAACAAAAAAGTGTTGGGCAACTATTTATTCTGGAGCCAAAAGTGAGTGGCCCTGTCCTGGGAACACAAATTTGGTTACCCCAAATCCCATGTACTGATATGGTGACAGTTTCATGAAATTGTTAGAGTAACAGAGCAAAGAATATTTCAAATACATTGGTGAAAACATCAGATTGGTGAATTGTAGCAAAGTGAGGGC